AGTCCCGTTGTTTTCTCCTCCAGGTTGTTCATCCAGCCTGTCCTATCCAGACAGGCCTGCGGAGACAACAACATGCACAAAAACAGGACAGAGCAAAACCAAGCAACAATGTACAACAAAACAGCAACAACATCAAGCCACTGCCGAATCAAACACCTCTCTTATCCCCTGGAAACCACATTTTGTTTTCTGACCCTAGAATTTTTTTAGAATTCAAATAGAGTTACAAATATGAATTTGGGTCAGTCTTATGTCACTTTACCATAGTTCTTTTGAAATGGATTCATACTGTTGAGTATAGCATTAGTTTGTTACTTTTTATTGCCAAGTAGCATGTCCTTTATATTTTATATATACTTGTGTATTTTATATCTATTTTATTAATATATAAAAAGTTGTTTATTTAAGATTTTTTTAACTTTTAGGCTATTGTGAATAAAGTTGCTATAAACATTCAAGTATAAGTATTTTCATGTGGAAATATCTTTTCTTATATTGGATAACTACCTAGGAGTAATGTTGTTCTGTGCCTCATGAGTATGTTTACCTTTACAAGAACAAGCCAACTTCTTTCTTGACAACTGTTGCATTCTCTCAGTAATCTAGGAAAGTTCTTTTGCTTCGTGTCCTTGACAATACTTGGCATGACATTCAAATTTCATTGTTGAAGTTTCTGTTCAAATTTGTTAGCCATATTTTTTGCTCATGTTTTTGTTTATTGGCTTATATGTTTTTATTATACTTGTAAGTGTTCTTTACATATTTTGGATTGAAGTCTTATACATGTTTGTAATTTTCTAGTAATCTGTGGGTTACATTTTTATCTTCTTTACGATGCCTTTTTTCTATAAATGTATACCTAACCACACATACAATTTTCATCAATTTCTACATGTATACTTCAGTAAAAGTGATTATATTCCTCAAATTATATATCCATTTTTACACTGTTTCCAAACTATCCCACCACCATTAATATACCTACAAGGTACTCTAACCTATTCTTCCCGTTGCTGATATCCATTAATTATTCTTGGTTTCTTTATATTTGTTTATTTCATATAAGTGATTTTATGCCATATTTTCCCTTTTGTGTCTTTCTGTGTGTGTAGCTCAGCGTAATGTCCTCAAGGCTTAATGGTGTTGTTTGCATAAGGACATCATTTCTCTCTATGGCTGAATAATATTCCATTGTATGTGTATACCACATTTTGCTTATCTAGGCATCAGTTGATGGACAGTTCCATTGTTTCCACCTTTTTGGCTATTGTGAAATAGTGCTTCAATAAATATTGATTTGCATAAGGCTGTTTGAGTCATTGCTTTGAATATTTTGGATGTATACATCATGTATTTTGTGGACCAAATGTGTTTTTTTTTTATTTAGAAATTTTTATGGCATCCATTCATTTATTCCATTCTGTTCATATTTTTGCGTGTGTATCATGAAATCATTGGCTTAATCCATGGTAAAAATGTTTTCTTTCCGAAGTTTTGTAATTGGAGATCTTATTACTTAGTATATGATCTATCTAGAGTTATTTTCCACCACTTGCCCATTAGTTTGTCATAGCTTGATGGCTTGCATGCTGCTGTGATGCTGGGAGTTATGTCATCAGTATTTCAAATAGCAGCAGGTGAACGGGTTTCATTGGTGCTTCCAAACTACAGACTCTGAAAAAGGAATAGGTTGTTCACATTTAAGGAATGAACCACTGAATATGAATAGCAGTCAAGCCTTATCAGATATATTGCAGGATAATGAGCCCTGCAGGTTGAAAGTCACAAATACAACTAGGGAAGAGCTGCCTTCTCAAAGTAGAGTTGATCATAACACCATGAATGGAGTAAAGTTTTCCAGATCTTTATTTGCTGATGGTGCATGAAACATCTATAAACACCCATTAATAATTAGAATGTGGAATGTATGAAGTTGGAAGTAGGAAAATAGAAAGTCATTAAAAATTAAATGGAGTGCATAAAGATCAATCAGTGAGGAGAAATGAATTGGTATTGACCAATTGCATTCATGGTCAAAGTGAACATTTTAAGATCTATCTTGAAGTGCAGTGCAATCTGTGATAGGATAATATGTATACCTCTACAACAAAATTCAGTTAATACAACTATTATTCAGATTTCTGCATCAGGTCCTGAAGCTAGTGATGAAGATAACGAATTCCACTAACATCTTCAGTCTGAAGTTGATCAAACATACAGTCAAGATGCATTGATAACTTGATGATTGGAATGCAAAAGCTGGAAACAGGAAAAAAGAGTAGTTGGAAATATGGTGTTGCTAATAGAAACAAAGCTGAAGATTGCATGATGTACTTTTGCAAGACCAAAACCTTCTTCATTGTAAATAGCTTTTTCAGCAACGTAAGTGGGACAGTACATGTGGAATTTTCCAAATGGAATACACAGGAATAAAATTGCTTACATTTGTGGGAGGAGATGACAGAGAAGCTCAATATCAGCAGTCAAAATGGAGGCTGACCATGGAACATATCAACAATTGTTCATATGTAAGTTCATCTTGAAGTTGAAAATTAAAAGACGTCCATGACTGGAAGGCTAACAGGTCATGACTTGTGTGATAGGAAAGTGGAGGTTCATAAGAGGATGAAGAGAAGTCAAGGGAGGCAGGGTAGGATAGAATATAGGGTTTGGGGGAGGTGGTAAGTAGTTTGAACTCTTGAATGCAGAGTCGTTGGTCTCAAATGCAAACCTTTTCTACCTAATTTACAATAAAAAGTAAAACAAAGCCAGTCCACAAGAGCGCAAATAAAACATTGAATATTTTCCACTTGAATTAAGAGAACATTTCAAGAGCAGATTTGACACATTGAACACTAATGACAGAAGACTTCACAAGCTGTAGGATGATGCCATTAAAAAGAGGAAAGAAAGAAAAGACAAAGTAGACGTCAGAGGAGACTCTGAAACTAGCTTTTGAGTGTAGAACAGCTAAAGAAAATGCAAGAAAGGAAGAGAGCTGAACAGAAAATTTGAAAGGGCAGCTTGAGAAAGCAAAGTAGTATATTGAAATGTGCAAAATCTGGAGTTGGAAGGTCAACAAGGAAGAACACCATCAGGATATCCAAGCTGAAAGAACTGAAGAAAAAATTTGGGCTGGCGTTTCAATTTTGAAGAGTTCCTTGGGCAAAATATTGAATGATGCAGGAAGCGTTAACAGATGAAGGAATACACAGAGTCACTGTATCAAAAAGAACTAATTGACATACATTCAAGATATACCAATGGTATTGAAGGAAGAAGTCCAAGCTGCGCTGAAGGTATTAGTGAAAAACAAGGATCCAGGAATTGGCAAAATACCAATTGAAATGTTTCAACAAGCTGACAAAGCACTGGAAGCTGCCAAGAAAGCTGCCTGGAAGACAGCTACCTGGCTGACTGACTGGAAGCGACTCGTATTTGTGCCCATTCCCAAGAAAAATGAACTAATAGTGTGGTAATTATCGAATTTACTTGCATTAATATTTCATGCAAGTAACTTTTTGCTGAAGATCATGTCACCTGTATATTGAAAGCTATTAATAAGCCTTCCTCCAATCCTGTTGGTGCATTCTTCTTCATATAGTCCAGATTCTCTCTCATTAGCTCAGCATATGGATTTGACTATGTCTAAAGAATACAACCCTGATGCACACTTTTCTTGATTTTAAACCATGCAGGATTCCTTTGTTCACACTGCCTCTTGTTCCATGTACAGCTTCCGCAAGAGCTCAGTTAAATGTTCTGGAATTCCCATTTTTCTCAAGGCTATTCATAGTTTGTTATGACCCCCATAATTGAATGTCTTGGCATAATTAATAAAACATGATAAACATCTTGTCCGGATTCTCTGCTTTCAGCCAAGATTCATCTGACATTAGCAATGATATGCTTTGTGCCACATCCTCTTCTGAATTTGGCCTGAATTTCTGGCAGCAATTTGTCAATGTATTCAAGGTATTCAAACTTTGGAACCAAACCCATTGGCACCATGTTGATTCCAAGTCATACTAACTGTATATAGGGTTTCTTAGGCTGTAAATCTTTATGGAAACAGCTTCATCTTTCTCCTGAGCAGTGGTTGGGGATTTAAACTGCCAACAACCCTGCCCTGTCTCTTTAGACATCTCCATAAGCTGTAATTAATATCCAAATAAAGACATTAATAAAATCATATTCCCACTTAAACATGATGTAATTATAATGTATACAACCAAAAGCATACAAATTTTTCTCTAGAGTGCATGCAAAGTGTGTGGGTGATGTTCGCTCTTTTACATAGCCTGTAACTTCAATATTATTGTTCTCTACCCTTAAGTAGACCTTTGACTCAAAATAACCTTTACAAAACAGAACACAGCATACCCTGGTGCTGTGCTATCCCCCTGATTGGTTACATATCGGTCCTTTGTGAGCCTTAGGATTTACAGTGATTGATTTGGGGAAGTGGTTTGTCTGGTTTAGTGGTGTGGACGCTCTCTTAAAATTTGTTCAGCATCGGAAAGATGAGGTTCACACGATGTCTCAGGAAGAAGTACACTATACTCATAAAAATCTGCTTGAGTTTTCTGTACCAGCAGAAGCCTGGGGAATATCCATGGGAATGGTTACTAAGGGTGTGGGATACTGGGGAAAAAATTTGTTCAGCATCATAACAACTCATCCCATATTTTGTTTGGCCTCAATAAGTACCTTAGTTGACTCTTTGTTGATAGAGTGACCTAAACTTTTAGTTCAAAAGGGCCCTCCCTGGTTTGGGTTGTTAAAATCTTCTATTTACTTTAATCACAAAGCAGAGTATTACTAAGAAATGTCCAAATGCGTCCCCTGTATTTCAAACATATTCTTTCGTACTTTCATTCTGTATTAGAAGTGCCATTTCCCTTTGGTAATCGGAGTCACACCAAGACAGTAGAGTAAATCCCTCCTTTGCTTGTTTGTTCAAAGGCATGAGGAGCACAAAGTATCCAGATGGCAGCCTTAACTTCCAATTTAATGGAATTATTGTTGTGTCTCCTGGTAGAAGCATTGCCTCCTTTGGGACTAAGACCTGTAGACTAGAAGAGTGTAGGGTCTCAAGGAGAGGAAGCACACATTTTGCTAGTGGGTCACTTAGGAGTGATGGTGAGTAGTGATATGCCCATTTATGTTTTCAATACATTTGGACTATTAATCAAAGTTGGTAACTCATGATCTTTACTTGATAAGGGTTTTTGGAGTGCTCTGAAATGAGTGCTTGGTTTTGGTCATTTAGCCTTATTTTAATTGGGTTTGTATATGTTTTCAGACATTTGCATTTATTGGATATTTGGTAAGATATTTTGGTTTATGTGTTTATGAAGATGTTATTTAATTCAGCCTATTGATTTTGAAAGGTCAAATTGCCTTTCAAGAATTTATGCATTTTTTTGTAGGGGTCAAAATCTCCTTCACCAAGACCAAACATGCCTATTCGATACTTCATAATGAAGAGTAGCAATTTGAGAAACCTTGAGATTTCTCAACAGAAGGGTATCTGGTCTACAACCCCTAGTAATGAGCGGAAGCTAAACCGAGCCTTTTGGGAAAGCAGCATGGTTTACTTGGTATTTTCTGTTCAAGGATCTGGACATTTCCAGGTGAGCCATCCTGAAACAGTATGGGTTCTGGCTGCAGCTTAGACAACAGAGATTTTCAGGGGACCAAAAGCAACAACCCAGCGTTTTGTTTTATTGGAACGTAGGAAAGGATTTTGCTTGACTGAGAATATGGAATTGTGAACCCTTTGTTTTTGCTTTTTTACTAGAGCCTCCCCAGATTAACAGTTTCTTTTGAAGACAAGTTTAGATTTACTAGTAACCAGGTAAATTAAAAGTAGTGAAAAACTGAAACTTCTGATAAAATGCCCATTTAAACAGGTCAGGGAAGTTAGTGCTGAAAATTAAGATAAGTGTTTCTTAAGTCATCTTGATTTAATATACATGTACATAAGGATTTATAAAACAATTCTCAGTAGGATATTTATTAACGTTTTTCAGAAATGAAAGATTATATCTTTTTATTGTAGAATAAATGTGGACTTAGAGTTGTTTTCCATTTTTAGGAAATATCTCTTTATTTGCAGTTGTTAGAAGTCTAGAATTGGCCTTTTGCTAAAATTCAAATATCGTTAACTCATTCTTTTTATAGAAGTATACTTAATATGCAGCTAATTTTTATTTATTTTACGTTTATATCCTATTTTTAAAACCTTAAAATGTAGAGCATTACCAGGTAAATTGAGTTTAACTTAATGTATTCCTTACCCCTACCCCTCTCCCCATTTTATCGACAGGGATTTTCTAGGATGTCTTCTGAGATAGGAAGGGAGAAGAGTCAGGATTGGGGCTCAGCTGGACTAGGAGGAGTGTTTAAAGTGGAATGGATCCGAAAAGAAAGTCTTCCCTTTCAGTTTGCACATCATTTGCTTAATCCCTGGAATGACAATAAGAAAGTCCAGATAAGCAGAGATGGACAGGTATCTAATGGCATTTATAATGTTTTCTTAATATTTGTTTTTGCTCAGCTTTGCTGTTACTCAGTGACTTGTTTGGATAGTATTGTGTATTCCTTATGTACATGGGAAACGGTGATTCAAATTTGTCGAGGACCTTTGAAAAGCCTACTTTCAAGTATGTCTGTTAGGGAACATTGCTTTTTAAACTTTTTAAAAAAGTTTGGCATCTCTGTCATTGCATATATAAGGGGGTACCCCCCAAAATGGAATGTTTTTCTCCCCAAAGCTATGTATTTAAATTTTTTTTAACAAAGCAACCTTATCACTTTCAAAGTACTCTCCATTATACTTAATACATTTGTCAAATCTGTGATTCCATTCTTGGAAACATTTATCAAATTCATCTGACAGCACCTCCCTCGTTTTTTTCTTCACTTCTTCTATGTCATCAAATTGCTGTCCTTTCATGTCCCTCTACATTCACAGAAACAAAAGGAAGTTGCACAGAATGAGATCAGGGTCTGGTGAGTCAGGTGCATGGGGCAAAAGGCATGCTGTTTTTTGCACAAAACTGGCACACTGACCTGCGTATATGTGAGCAGGTGCATTGTCGTGGTGGCAAAACCATTCCCCTTCCTGCCACAAATCAGGCTGTTTTTGTCACATACTGTTACTCAATCTTTTCAGAACCTCTAAATAGAAAGCTTGATTAACAGCCTGACCTGGTAGAGTGAACTCCAAATGAACTACGAATCGACATTTTTGCCCAAAGTTAATGGATGTCCAGAACAAGGTTTGTCATCAATTGACAGCTCACCTTTTTGAAATGAGAAAGCCACTTGCACAAATGTTTTTTTGTTTTTTTTCCCCCATAGCGCTGCCCTAGTAAGTTGTGTTCAACATCACAACAGTTTCTGTGGCATTTTTCCAGAGCAGGAAAGAAAATTTCACAGCCACACGCTATTCTCTTGCAATGTCACTGGGTACACTAACTCAGAGTGAGTTGCATGATGCTCACCTAGCTGAAAAAATGCAGACTACAAAAGTTCTGCTCCAGCAGCGCAGTTCCGGTTTTTTGGGGATATACACTCGTATAAAATGGTTCATACAGGGACTTTTTGTCTTACTAGACTAAAGATAAGGCCCAAATTGAATGTAACTCTGAATTAATTTGGCTTAACTCTTAAGAAGAACATAGTAATCTATTTCTACATAACTTTAACTTTATATGTAGTAAATAACAACATTTTAATATTCTAGTATTTTGCTTTTAGCATTACCGTGTTTCTCTACTGGCATAGATTTTTAACTAGTTAACTGACATTGAGTTGATGCTGACTCACAGTGACCCCATGGAACAGGGAAGAACTGCCCTGTGAGTTTGCAAGTCTGTAAATGTTTATGGGAGTAGAAAGCTATCTTTATCCTGAGGAGTGGCTGGGGTGTTTGAGCTACTGACCTTGTAGGTAGCAGCTCAACATGTAACCATTATGCCACGAGGGCTCCCTTAAGCTAGTTAAGGTGATGGTAATTAAAATATGTTGATACAATACTGTGCTAACTGCCTTATGTAGTCTGATTTAATACTTAAGAGTAAAATATTTGACCAATTTTATGTAGGAGAATATAGACTCAGAGAACTTAGTTTTACTTAAGGTCATTCACCTAATAATTTGAAAAATGTGACTCACCTCAAGTACCTATCAGAAGTATGTCACAAAATTATAATAAATCAATCAGTTTTTTCAATTGTTTAAAAACATATAAAATTGTATCCTATAATAATAATTTTCAAATAAATCTAAATAATTCTTAAGAATACAGCCACCTATATAGTTTCTTAGAAAACAAAATACATAATTGGTTTACAGTAAACTTTTGGACTTTCAAAATGAGCGTTTGCTGTTATCTCTGTTAAAACTATCAGACTTCAGGTAGAAATGTTTCCAAAAGTGTTCCATAGAAATCTCTCATTATTTCGGCACAAAGTGTTTATATATTTTCAGGTTGGCAGTACAAAGGTGGACATCAAGTCCATAAACCTGAAAGCATAGAATTAGGGCAAGTCATATCTGTTTTAGGCTGGGTTTTACAGAGAGCAAACAAACAAAGTGACATGCATATATGTATAAGAGAGAACTTTATATCAAAGGCATCCTGGCACAGCACAACTCAAGTCCATGGGTCCAGTGCTAGCCAGAGCCCTCTTCAAACTCATGTAGCTGCAGGCCAATGAAATAGAAAGATGAAGTGGGAAGTGGGGCAGTCATAGGCTGATGGGTGTATAGTCTTGTGGAGCAAAGATCATTGGGAACATGGCAGGGCTCTGACAGCTCCCAGGTTTGGTGATCCTTATGGGGTGGCCTCTGGCTGCAGATACAGAATTTAGGAAAGCAGGAAGGTAATGGACAAGAGAAACAGTGTGAATAAGAGAGAAATTCGCAGTGTCTCCTCTAAAAAACCATATCATACCAGGAGGCATCATCAGGTTGTGACCTGATAGATAGGTTAGATTCCACCCCTGTTCTTTCATCCAGGTATAAGTTGACATAAAATCTAACCACTACAATATCATATCATTTTAGCATGTTTTTGTAGAAAAATGAAATGTAAAGCAATTTAAAATTTTTGGTGATTTAAAATGCAAACACATTTCAATCTAATTCTTTTTATGTTTACTTTGGTTTTCGGTTTATCTAGGAACTAGAACCTCAGGTTGGTGAACAGTTGCTGCAGTTATGGGAACGCCTTCCATTGGGAGAAAAAACCACAACAGATTGACATTCGGGTTACAGAATATTTTACTCTATGTACTGGTGGTGTATATGATCACTAAGCACATCTTCAGATTATTTATGTTGTCTTTCCCGCCCCCGCCCCCGCCCCCAGACCTTTTCGCTGCTGAAGAGCATCATGCCATTTAGAACCACTGAGTGCACTGACGTGTGAAATCTGAGATGAAGTTACGTGTTACAAATGGGCTTGTTAGTTTAGAATGTTTTAGAGCTACTCGTCTTAATTTATAAAAGGATAATTTTAATTTTTATAGTGCCCACAGTGAGTTATCACTTAGTAGTGTTTATAATTGTAGGCTTTTCATTGAATAAAATAGTAGTTTCATTATCAACATAGAACAGCTTTATTTTAAACATACTTAGTTCAAAATTAAGCATTTCATTTTTTAAAAATACTGACTTGTAACTCTTACTAAGTTCTTTTTTTTATAAACCTGAACCATATAATTACATTTAAACACAGTTTTATAACACTCATCTCTTAAGATATATCATTAAAAACAAAAGGGAAGACAACTAAATTCTAAAATTTTACTTTACAAAATAGTACATGGCGATAAGGGCTATTCATTTTTTTCAATATTGATCCGAGATCCAGTAAGGGAAAGAGGAGAGATGTTCTTTTTCAACAATTATGAATTGCAGTGAAATCTGAAAAAGGTAGAGAGTTCGTCCCTGCTATTGATCAGATCAAATTCAGCATTCAGTTTTATTCCTGGTCTTGTTTCATTTAACCTGTTATGTACATACCCTTTCCTCTTCTCACTTCAGCCTTCACGTGTCTCTTATATGAGTACAGTAATTATGACCTCTGTTTTGGGGGCAGGGAAATTTGATTTAGATAAGTTTAAAAAGTGCTCAGTAATTACTCAATAAAGTGCTCAATAATAAGCAAGCTTGATTGCTGTCTGTCTTCCAAACTAAAGCCTGCAAGCAGCACCATTGTAAATGCCTTCTTTCACTTTTCTTTTCAGTAGTTTTCTCTTATGTTGTTGGAGTGGATTTTCTTCATTGCCTTTATGGCTTAGTAAATGGGGAATATTTTTTGTAAATCTTTGCTAATACCAACTCTCATATTTCTTTACCTTCTCAGAATTATTTGATTTTGTGTGTGTACTGTCACTGTCTACAAAGTTTCTATAAGGAGTTTTTGAAGAGCAAAGTACAAATACCGGAATATGAAAGAAATGTCTTAGTAACTGAGTTCTAAATACAACAGATTTGGTAGTATTTTACGTGCTCAATTTGGGTCATTGTTTAAAAACAATTGTGAGCCTTCCTTAAAGACAAAAAGGAAAATTCTAAGTCCTCCAATTCTGTGTTTGAGAACAAAGAATCACGCGTCAGCATAAAATCTCGAGTGTTCTACTTTCTCTGGGAAAGTATTATATGCTGGTGCGTTTGTTGACAATACTAACTGATTTTAGTCTATATTTATGGTTAATTAGATTTTGAAACACATCTATAAATTAAGCCTATCTGAATTATGTTACACTGTGTGCTGAGTATTATTACAGTTTTTTTGGTTAGAACTTATGTCTTCTTGATAATGTATGCATTGTTTAGGTATGTATTTAATAGTTCCCAGTGTTCTACCTTTAAAAGCAAGGATTTTTACAAAATAAAAGTTCTTTTAATTTTCATCTGTTTTCTAGTATCTGGCTCTGTATGTAAATGACAGGTTTGTTGGTATTTTGAATGAATACAATTTGAATGTAATAAAAATGCTGTTTTTGAAAGATGAAATTTAAGTATACTTATTAAATAAAATTTTATTGAAATATTCAGATTTTATTATTTCTGATATTATGTAAAAGGACTCTAAAGTAATCTTTATGATAATCCTGTATTCTTACCCTCCTCTAATTGGGAAGTTAACAGGATTAGAGAAATTAAGTTGTTTGTTTAGGGTAAAACCACAGGTAGAGACAGGTGGAGGTAGAAAGCACTGGTAGAAACAGGATTCAAAGCTACATGTGCAAAGATGGATTTTGTGAGAATCTTCAGCCCTGAGATCCTGTGCTTCTGTGTTCATCTCTGAGAAGCAGCAAGAAGGGCTTGCCCATCCGAGGGCCTGTGCAGCATTGAAGAGAGCATTTGTGGGTGTCAACCATGACCAGCTAAGCCCTGCGAAGTTAGTTCTGTGTGAAACTACAATGTATTATGAAATGGAAGCATTCTTGAATGTGGATTAGTACTATCTAATTTTGGAAAAATTCCTACAGTTTAGAGATACACTAAGATTAAATATAATATAAATTAACCGTAATTTAACATCAACTGAATTTGACCTGAGGATTCCAGGTGGCATGATGAGATTTATGTGGTGGTCTACTGACCACAAGGTCTGCAGTCGAGAACCACCAATGCTTCATCGAAGAACGATGAAGCCTTTTATTCCGGTAGAGAGTTACAGTCTCAGAAACCCACAGGGGCACTTCTGTCCTGTCCTGTAGGCTTGCTCTGAGTCAGAATCGACTTGATGGCAGTGAGAAGGCCACAAGATCTGTATCCCCTTAGATAATATTGCATTTCAAACACCCTGAAGAATATTAAATTAATATCATAGGTGATGGTTTCATTTTCAAAAATGTGACTTGTTAAGTACAGTTGAGCCGGTTTCAACCCATAGCGACCATATATACAACAAAACGGAACACCCCCCTGCCCTGGGCCATCATCACAATTGTTCTTGTGTCTGAGCTCACTGTTGCAGCCACTGTGTCAATCCATCTTGCTAAGGACCTTCTTTGTTCGTTGCCTTTCTACTTTACCAAGCATGATATCTGTCATCGGACTGGTCTCCTGACAACACGTCCACAGTCTATAAGACCTGAAGTCTCACCGTCCTTTCCCTCTTAAGGAGCACTCTGGCCATACTTTTTCCAAGACAGTTTGTTGTTTTGGTAGTTCATGGTACTTTCAGTATTCTTTGCCAGCACAACAATTCAAGTACCTCTATTCTTCTGTCTTCTTTATTCAATGTCCAGTGCCTTATTAATGAAAGGGAACAGTACAAATCTTAAAGCATATGCTTAGTATCTTCTAAACATAACAAACAAACAAACAAAAATCCCCGCTCACTTCTATTGAATCAATACTGACTCATAGCGACCCTATTGGACAGGGTGGAACAGCCCCCGTGGGTGTCTGAGACTGTTTACGGGATAGAAAGTCTTTCTCCTGCTCAGAGGCTGGTGGTTTTGAACTGCCAGCCTTGCAGATCGCAGTCCATTGCATAACCACTATGCCACCAGGGCTCCTAAGTACTAATTAAGTGTTCATAAGCAGGAAATCTAGACTGTTACATTGCAACATTCTGTGTATTATAAAGAATACCTTATGCTTGAGAAATACTAGTCTTTTTCCAAAAATCTATATCAAATTTTTGTCTAAACACCCAGGAGAACATAATTTATCATATAACTTTTCAGTAACCCTGTTTTTAGCCGAAGAATTTAGGTTTTTTTTGTTAGGTATTTTATGTTTCTATCAGCTTTCTAGACATTCATTTCAAAAGCACAAAGCACCTATTCACCAAGTAATGTCCACGGGTTTCTATGTAGAAAAAGTACGTTAGATACTTGTTCTCCATTGGGCTTTCATCTCAGCGAGGACAGTTTACTCTCCTTTATGATACATGATTTTGAGTTTCATTTACTGCACCATATTAGATACACGAAGTGTGTTCTTGCTGTCAGTCTTTTGGATAACACTTTTCTTTGGTTTCGTGTGCTAGCTGCCATCAAGTTCCAACTCCTGGTGGTTCCATTGATGTCCGAGTAGAACAGTTTCCAAGAGGCAGATTTTTTTTTTTTT